ATGCAGTTTGAGGCCACGCTAATAGGGCAGGTACACGACCATTTAGCCTCATCCCTACCTACAAGGTACTTTTTAGTACTTGACAGTGAGTCAAAGACTCGTCCGCTCACTCTTAACGTTGGGACTTTCGAGGGGATAGAGGGGGAAGTCTCCTCCTATGGATCCGAGAATTCGATATGGCTCTTGAAGACGCCTTGCTTCAATCGGAGCGACAGAAAATTGGCCTAGCCATTTCTAAGCTCGGTGGTAGAGCCAAAGAATGGTCTCTTACCTGTGATACGTCGGTTACCGCTGCGTTTTGCACATGAGATTCGCTTAAACGATATTTCTCGGGTGTTCGCGCCACAGAATCAAGCGTATCGTGTTCGCTCTCGATTCCTAGCCGCCAGGGATGGAAAGAGAGAATCATCGGACTTTGTCCAAAAGTTGCAAACTCTCATAGCTGCTATGCAGATGGACACTCTTCCAGGAAAAGTCCGTGTCACCATTTTTATAATGGGCCTTCGTTCGGGGATCGCGAGGACGGAATTCTTCCACTTCCACCCCTCAACGTTTGAAGGGGCCGTAGACATAGCGTTGAATGCTGAGTTCAAATTTAAAGCCGCTTGCTATGGCACTCATGGGCATGCCCAAAGATCATTTGATGGGGATGAACCCATGCACCTCAGCCATTCTGAAGAAGAAGAAGAGAAATATATTCTGGCTGTTGGAAAGCAACGTAACGTCCGTAGATGTTACATGTGCGGGAGCACCAGGCACGGGCGCCCTCAGTGCCCATTGCGGAAGCCGCATCAAAGTTGGCAGAGCCGCAATCCGCCTCCTAACCCGAAATTGGGTACGGAGCGGGAAAAGGCAACTCCCAGTAGGCGCGGGGCGCCCCACTTAATAGGATTTAGGTTCTGCCAAATCTCTAGGTGGTAAAGATAGACAGGGGCATAAGCCCCAGAACGGTCTTGTGGAAGTTTTCCACGAGACGTGAGTATAAGCCAGGCTTGTTAGGGGCCTCGGCTACAATAAAGGGCTTTCAAGATCCGTGGTCAATATTAATTGACTCTGGAGCGTCAGGCAACTATGCTCGACGCCAGTCCCTGGAGGAATGTCAGCAATTCGCTGAGGCGCTGAAAGCGCATGAGGGTGATGTTATCACTGCTCGCTTAGCTACAGGGACCCGTGTCACCGTACCTAAAGTTCCGTTGAACTTAGGTGTAAAAGTTTTAGATTTTGATAGTATCGAACGTTGTCTTGTCCTGGAATTGGACTCGAGAGATGATCTCATCCTTGGGATGGCTGGGCTGGAACGCCATGAACCATGGGTTGATTGGAGGTCGAAGACCTTAGGCGCAACGTGCAATGTTCCTAGTGAACCTTTGGAGACTCATGAACCCGCTTTTGCTAGGCAATAAAAGCGCTAATGGCGCGCGCCACTGACGGAATCTGTTAGTGTTATGGACATTGTAGTGTCTGAGCTAGTTAACTCTTATGTCATTGCAATTGTGAAACGGCACGTATTCCTTTCGGTAACACTATTAATGACAGTGAGTCACTGAATGCTGAAAGCCTTGATGGCTTGAAGCTGAGTCATCCTGGGTATGATCCCTGTGATGCGCGTGGAGTGGCACGTAATCATCCAAAGAGTGAGGTCGGCCGTGATGGCACCCACTAAATGTCAGAAATGACATTGGCTCTCTGAGATAGCAGGTTTAAGTTGAAGACAATCTTCACCTCGTGGAACCGGATGTTCCTTACACTTGAAGCGTTCAGTCACTGCACAGAGACGACAGCGACGCCAGATAGCGGCTGTGAAAAGAAAGGCTTCTGCCATGACGCCGAAGGGCACTAGTGAACAGTTTACACTTTAGTCGATGGGGTGTCGGGTGCGATTGATGTAATAGTTGGCCTCGAGGCCCTCCCATCGATTAATGCTCTGCTAGTGCTAGACGAAATGTCTGTAGACGAATTTCATCAAGCCTTAAAGGCTGGTGCTTTGTCCGTTATGGTGGTCCTTAGACCTGATCTTGAGCTGAACTCGCCATCCCTTGTAGATGAGACAATCCTTGAGGACATTAAAGTGGCACTCAGTGCTCGCAGTGGATCTGTCATTTTGAAGGATCCTTCAGATCCCTTCTATCCTTCGGTAAAGGAATTTCAGGACATGGTGTGTCATGATCTATCATCCACTCTACCTCCCGGCAATGGTGTGCATTATGAAATTGACCTGATCCCTGGGACCAAATACTGCGTCACAATGGCCATTGCCTAAGGAACAGTGTGACGTCATTGACGAGTTCTTTCGTGCAAAGCACGCGTCAGGCATGGTGCGAGAGAATATCTCCACACTCGACACCGACATTTTGTGTTAGAAAGCCTAATGGTAATTGGCGTATTGTGCACGCTTACTATAAGCTCAATGCGGCCAATACACCTGCGCAGACACAAATTTCTTGAAGGGATGTTCTTCAGAACGCTATAGTGGGTTGCACCATGTTTAGCGCGCTCGACTTAGTCGATGGTTATTACTAACTGCTCATGCGAGCGAGTGATGTCCCGCTCACAGCGGTTAGCACGCCGAGTGGAATGCTTTGGGAGTGTATTTTTAATAAATCAAGGGCTGTCTAATGCCCCGGCTGCATTTAATCGTCTTATTTCGCAATTGTTCCGACCTTACCAAGGATACGTACAAAGCAATTTGATGACGACTTTGTCCATAGCCGTACAGAACAAGGAAGATCAGATGTTGTAAATTACATTGATCAATTACGATCAGTGCTCGGGTGCATGCGCACAAACTAGTTGTATAAAAATGCATCTGAATGCATTTTTGGTGCTGAAGAAATCCCTTTCCTAGGGTGCTTCATTGGGAAGCGCGGCCAACGGGCAGATCCCGCTAAAACAAAATCCATTGTGGATTGGCCGGTTCCGTCTAACCCAAAAGACTCGTGCAAATGGCTTGGTTTTGCCAATTACTTACACAAGTATAGTGCAAACTATGCTGACATGGCACGGCCGTTAACAACTTCCTCAATAAGGGTGCAGTTCGGTGTTGGGATACAGCCCAGGCTCAAGCTTTTCAAGCTGTTAAGGAGAGTCTCCTTCATGCTCCAATTTTGGCTTTACCTGACCCGGAGCGACCTTTCACTGTCGTCTGTGAAGCATCTGATTTTGCAATTTGCAGTGCATTGTTTCAAAGTGATGTCGATGGACATGAGCGCGTCATTGCGTATGATTCTCGCCAACTAAAAGCTGCTGAAAAGAACTATCCAGTTCGTGACAAAGAGTCACTTGCAATGAGTATGCTCTTGTCAAGTTCAGAGTAAATCTACTGGGCTCCAAGCCGTTTGTAATCTACACAGATCATGCACGCGCGATGACATGTTGCGCACTGCGACCTAGTCGCCTCATATCTCGCAACGTATAAACTGTTGGCTCTTATTCTTCGCTGAGTATAACTTTGAGGTGAAGTATAAACCAGGGAAGCAAAAACGCTTTGGCCGATGCGTTATCACGCAGGCCGGATTATGAGCTTGCTCATGTTACGACTCTGTCGTCTTCTATCCCTAATTTAATCCGTACGGCTTTTGCCAAAAAGATAAGCGTGTCGCTTTGTTTCGCGCACTCGGTTGTGATGAGTTTAGAGACTCGGACACTAAATTGTCGGCATGCTCGCGTGCAGGGCTACATCGATATTCTTTCGATCATGGTCTCTTCTGCTATAGCACGGATGCGGCGGATACTCCGCGCATCGTAGAATTTTATGATGAGTAGTAGAGGTATCACATCCTCTTTAAGACGCATGATATAGATTTGAGCAGTCATCTCGGTCGAGAGAAGACCTATGGCTCGGTCAGCCAACACTATTGGTGACCCAAATTATGTAAATGGGTGAGCACATATGTGCGTACGTGTGAAACGTTTCAAACCCCCGCTCAAGCGGCTGCGCCTTTGGCGAGTTTGCCTATACCCACGGGTTCTTGGGAATACATAACGATGGAATTTGTGTTCGGTTTGCCAACAGATTTGGACGGCAACACTGGTATTGTGGTCTTTGTTGACCGTTTGAGTAAAATGACTCATTTAGCGGCTGTGTCGGCTTCGATTGATGGTACACGTACAGCACAGCTGTTTATCGATCGCGTGTTTCGTCAACACGGTTTGCCTTTCGCAATTGTTTCCGATCGCGATCCTCGCTTTACGGGAAAATTTTGGAAGTCCATCTTCAAGGTGCTCGGCACCAGATTGGACATGTCCACCGCGGATTATCCGCAGACCAATGGTTAAACTTAACGTTATTATTGTGTCATTGGTGACATTTTGCGCAGCGTTTGCGCAGATACGCCTAGGCGTTGGATCTCTGTGCTTCAGGTGGTCGAATTTGCCATGAACAATTCGGTCCATGCCTCGACTGGCTACACCCGGTTCTATTTTAACGGCCTCACCCATCCGCGCGTCACATTGACGATAAAACATCGTGGTACCGGGCTTGCTGAGGGAGGGATTGCCGATCGGCTTGCTGATGTCAGCCCTGCTACTGTTAAAAAAGTGAGTTCCTTGCAACAAGGTTAAATGTCTTACAGCATATTCGAGAAGCAATGGCTAATAGCCAAGATAAACAAAAGGAACAAGGTATGTCAAACTCAGAAATTGTAGTAAAAGTTATGAGTTTGTAGACCAAGTCTTGCTAAAGGCTAAAAATCTACCTACACTTGTAGTGTCAGCTGTTTATAAAACGAAGTTGCGTCCGCGCTTCAACGGACCTTTTACGGTCGTGGCCAAGAAGGGCCTTGCGTATACGCTCAACTTGCCGTGCAAATTGCGTACACATCCCGTCTTTTATGTCGGCCTGCTTAAGCCATACCGGGACCCGTACCATGTTGACTCTAAGGCGCTCGAACTGCGTACATTGGCGTTGCCATAGGATGTTGCATCCGAATTAAGAGGTCAAGCTGAGCCTCTACACGAGTCTGACGTGACTTTAAAATCTAAAGACAGGCTCGATTGCCTTCCTACGTCGTCAGACGAGATCGGACTTCGCCCAGGGCGTTATGAGTTTGACCCAAAGTCCCACTGAGATTCTCCACTTTCTTCACCAACTCAGCTTGGCTTTCAGCCGATACTCCCACCGCCACCGGTGTTGCTTGATAAGCAAGAAAACTTACAGTTCCATGTGGAGCGAGTACTTCAAAGAAGTCGTCTTCATGTTCACTACCAATATCCGGTGAAGTGGCGTGAGTTTCCTGAGTCTGAAAACTCATTGGAGTATGGGATTCCCCTACGGAAAGACTGCCCATACGCCCTTGACGTTTTTGAGCGTCACGGCCGAGCTCGTCTTGACGAGTGTCACGCTTCTCACTCATCGTAGTGAGAGCGGGCGAGTTCGTGCCAAAAGATTGACGTAAAGTCGCGGCTGCAGAGGCATCCAAAGCATATCGGGAGCGTAATACTCCATGTAGACGGCCTCTGACCTTTAACTTCGCGAAGTCGTATCGAAAATTTCGCTGTAGACGAACGTCTGCCACACTGACACTTTCGCGTAGCGCGTGCATGATACTGAGGCGTCAAATGCCATGCACCTAGCGGAGGAACATGTTTTCCTCCTCAGTTTCGTCCCCATCTTCGGACATAATGATGGGTATACCCCCTATTTTGTGAACCGGTGTTCCTTGGGCCTGCTTTTGTAGCCGTTCTCTGCATTGACTCAAAGTCATCACAGTAGGTTTTAAAGATTTCTCTCGAAAAGCCTTGCGGCATTCGATTTCAGTGGGTGTTTTTGCCTCGGGGCCGGTGGCCCACGTTGCCAAAGTATGGCGTGTCGCTTGACGAATCAGTTCTTCCACGCCAGGTGGATTGAACGTATGTTCACTGTGTCGTTGCAACTTTGCCTGAACTTTGACTTGCGCCGTGCGCTTGCCGCTTGATCGAGCATGCGTTGTGGCTCCTTATCAAGCGGCTTAGTGACAATGGATGTTACCATGTGGGACATTGCTTCCAGCGCTGTAAGCGCAGTCGCGGCACTACGTTCAGAGAACGGATTTAATGCCGGATGGGGAATTTCCCCACGCACAGGCGTGTTGGGTTTGGATTGCTCCTCCCCCTCGACTTTGTTATCACTACCACTGTCATAGTTTACGTCCTCGACACCAAGGAATTCGGCTAGAGCCTTATCTTATAGGAGGTGTCCAGATCGGTCCATGTGAGTTGATTACTTTTGTAATGAGTCTCAATGAGAGAATGAGTCGAGTGACATTTGTGGTAACCTAGGTCTGGTGGGGGGAGGGTGTAACGAGGTCACACTAGCCATCGGCTAAATTGGTCAAAGACCCCCTTTAAATGATATGGATGAATGTGTTTGACCTTAGATGTATATCAGCAAGAGAATATCGATTGATCGATATTCTCAGGTTTACGGTACTTACCGTGTACGTACTTTGTACCGTCGTCATTTGATGACTGAGTGATGTGCCAGCCATCCATTCAGTTCGAATAGTAGTATTTGTATTAGATCTGGTTTAGTTCAGAATAGGGTACATAAAGTAGGATTGTACTTGATATACAATCTAAATATAATCAGTTCTCATTTTGAGCAGAAGTCCCTAGACCCCCCTTCGCACATTGTGCCCTGCAGTTCCTTAGAACTGCCGTAGCTTATAGAGTCCTTAGACTCCTACTCCCCTACAAATTGTGCTTGTGGTTCTCTAGAACTACACAATAGTTGAGCTGTTAGCTCGTAGATTCCACCCGAGTTCCGTAGAACTGGATAACTCTTTAACTCAACATGTTAGCTCTGTGAAAACTAATAGGCTGTCAGCCGTAAGCCTTTGGCTTGTTAAAAAGGTCTTCCTACAACTTAAAAAGCTGTGTAGTTCCGCTACATGCAACAAGCTACCCGGATTTTGCAGTTTAGTTTCTTGTACAGGGGGCGATTGTGGTAAAGGTGATCGATTTCGGGAGGAAAGTACCTTGGCATCCGGATTTACGAAGAGGTATCTGGTTAACGAATTGTTGGACGATGACCGTTGAGTTTGACGTCACCTGTGGATGACCTAACGGTATAAACACCATCCATCCAGCCGTTTGTACTGTCCAAAGAAGATAAGGATCGCGATTAAGGGACGCGATCAAGGGATCTCAATTCAAATGGGTCTGCTACCTGATATGGAAGAATTATAAATCCGTTGAAATGAGACGAATCGTGGCATCACATCCCTGCCTACAGGGTAGTGCAAGTCACGTTGCTACTCTTTATTTAATTAAAATTGAACGGATTTATAAGTGTTTTTTAACTAGATTTGTGTCGACTTTCTGTCGGGCAGTATTGGCTCCCGTTGTCAGAGAACATCAACCCTACGAAATGGAATATCATTCATGGAGATAATTGGCCAGGAGTTAAGGAGTCTCAACACACCCTAACTGCGATCGGACGCGGCAACCTTACTGGTTGAAGTAAAAGATCGCGAGACGGCACAAGTGGTCAAAAGGATCGTGACTCAAATACCCAAATCTTGGAATAAGACAGTCAAGGCTGATCGCGGCGGCTCCTACAGAGCGCAGTCCAAAAATACGCAATTGGGTAAGAAAAATCCACCTGATCGATAACGATTTCTCACACAGTCGAGATTGGCATCACATAAAGTATACTGAGAAGAGTACAATCCTCCCTTCCGATATGTACACAAGGCGATAGAGGAATACAGCTAAACCAGATCGGAGTATTCTCTACGTTGGGCAGCCGTCTGTGCACCAGTTCAGATATTGGATGCCCAAAAACTGAGCAATCCTCACTCTACTACACATCTAAGCACATCTCGTAAATGGTCAATGTGTTATCCAGATCCATCCTACATTCATTTATAACCGAATTATGGACAAAAATGTCTTCAAAATAAATTTTGTGCATACGAACGATGAGGGTGGACCGTTGTGTCATTGAATATTTAAACGTTATCGCGGCATTGATTTCCCCTGAGCCATGACTAGACACTCCCAAAGCATATCGTTGTCATTATGGACCGCTTCTAGCGGGAAAAAGGCATGATCGTAAGGACAGATCACCACAACTATCGATCAGGCCGAGTCCACTGACAATATTTTTTCATTCTGCCATGCTGGTATAGAGACCATTTTATAGAATGTAGTATTTGTACTGGTATAGCGGCCGCATTATGCTTATTAAAAGGATGCACAATACGCCACTATCGCTACGCTTTTTTCACACAATTTTTTCGAAATGACGAGTCTTGCTCTTGCGAACCATTCTCGCCGCGTGCTTAAAACTGAATAACTCTCCTATGACAATATATTTCCTCAATAGATGCCACAACTGCGTTTCGCTGATTGAATTTTCGGTAAACAAGTTGTTTACATGTAGTGCGCCCCAACCAGGAGGTAGAACGGATGGTAAAAATCTGACATACGAAAGCCACAATATCATTAACCCAAGGGTAAAAAGTCAGAAGAGTTCTGTAAAACAGATGACCCATTCTGTGCACTAAGAGCTGTCTAGTACTTTAAAATGCTGTTTCATATAATCGAGAGGAGAGGTTTAAATTATTATCCGTTTTAAGGGCCACCATATTAATAAGTCGCCTGTCGTTAAGTCCTGACTGAGCTCATACACAAAAGTTCGTCAAGTCCTGACACGCCAGTTTAGGAAAGTATATATGCAAGATCGTCTTCACCATTCACGCGACTTGTCACGTCATGTACCAGTGCTCAAAGCTGCTGGATGGTATCTTCAAACCACATTGCAGTCGCTTTCGTCTCTCAGTTGCCATTTAGCGTTGCTACGTCTCTGATAACAGAGTTAACTTTTGAGAAAGGTTGGACCATGTAATACTACAAGATGATTGGCTTTGTCAACCTTGACTTTTTTTAAATAATAGTTGATGTTACTAAACACATTTAATGTAGAAGTACACTAACTAGAAATCATCACCAGGGAGTTATCCGCCACTGTACGCACGTCAGACATTAATTGTCTGGGTGTCTCGCCAACGACACCGTTACAAACACGTAGTGAGATGCTGAGACAGCCTCATTTACGCTGATAATTATCACGTACCACCGCTCATGCATTAAATGAGCCTTGTTCTTGAGATGATGTATTTTGCCAACAATGTCATGCCCTTTTAGTGATGTACTATTGCAGCCCCCCTCACTCTGTGGAAGTTCAAATCGCGCTGCACATACATCTTGAGATATACTTTAAATCATTTGACCTGGTGTTATCATGCTATTAGCATCCAGTGGATCGGTGTGACATCAAGTGCCAGTCAACGGAGTCCGCGCCGTTTTACTAATGTCATCGTCAAATGTTTAAAGCAAATTAAACATTTCGATGCCCGGCACACTAACAGACTCAGTCAAAGGCTTGTGTCAATACCCCTACTGTTGCTTGGCAAGGTGAGTTCATGACTTTTTAAAGATTCGCTAAAAACATCGCGCGTTGCGCCTAAGGTATTGGACCTCCAATAATTCATGGTTCTTGGCGCTCTAGACAAAAATAATTGAGGATGGGATCATAACTGAGTCCAAATCGAGAGCAACATTTTTTAATGATTTTAAAGTATTACAAGTTGACACCTAAGTTTAACGAAGCTAATGTACGGCGACACGGACCCCTCGTTGCTAGACGCACCGTGATAGCATCAACATCTCGCACTGTTAGCGCTTCAAAAACTTCTGACTCTTTGGAATGAAACGGCGTTGGACATTGTTTTCCGACACCCCGCACCCTATCAAAATTTGACCACGGCCTTTAAAAGACCTTAACTGTTAACAAGGTAACCAACAACAATCATTTAATTTACGCTTTATGGTCATGTCCACGCTATCGTTTGTAGCTAAGCCTTTTTCAACAATTCCTTCAGTATCCTCAACAATGCTTAGTTGATCCACAGTTGAACGCCTCGAGCCTACTGGGAGTCGACGTTTTTCTGCATCATACTGTGTTTCTGGTTTGGACTAATATTTTAGTCTTAGGCTGACACTTTAGCGGTCTACCCAAAAAACAGACAGGGCGGAGATGCCTTGAGCTTTCGCACGTGTAACATCTTTTTTTGGATGTTATGTTGCTGTTATACAGCCTAAAACTGATTCTTCTTCTTTCGCATGGCTGATATCTATTGAGCTTAGCCCTGGAAAACTAATATCGATAACGTCCATGCGTACCAATTTTAAGCTTCAGTAACTCATCGGATAACTCTACGTCGACAGCCTTAAAAATTGCGGGAACGACACGAAAAATTCGGTCCGAGCAACCCCATTATAGAGACCTTCCAAAAGAATGGTGACACGGACTTCCTCCGTTAAGGGAAAAAATTTCTAGCAGCAAGGAACGTTCTCTGCTCTTGGGCAT